CCCTGGTGGAACACATCTGTGGATGTCTCAGTTCTGTTGGTCAGCCTGTATGACGGGGTCTGGTTCTGACTCAGCAGTAGAACTCTGCTGAAGGACCGGACCGGACTGGACTGGACTGGACTGGACTGGACTGGACTCTGGTCCAGTCCAGTCCTTCTGGGACCTGACGTCTTGGTTTAATGGCGGCTCACAACCAATGTTTTCAGGTGCACACCGCCACCTACTGTTCTAGACTGTGTAGTGTCTTGGTATGACCCTACTCTTTACTTACCCAGTGAATGACCTTTGACCTCTGGAGTCCAGTGGTGGCCGCTCTACTTTCTTTCTGTTCTGCTGGTTCGTGTCACCTGGTAATCCCTGGACCAGCGTGGTCCATCAGGTTAGAGTCAGGTCGTGTTTCAACACTCTCTCTCTCTCTCTCTCTCTCTCTCTCTCTCTCTCTGCAGTAGTGACATCATCACCTCCCCCTCCCCTCCCCCCGACCTCCCCACATTAACAGCATTAGAACCCGTCGTCTCCTGGTCAGACTGACTCTCCATCATTTGCTCGACTTTTCCATCTGTGGAGTCACTGATGGGCACGTGCTGTGGGGAAAACCCAGGGGGGGTCAGGGGGTCAGAGGGTCGGGGGGGTGGGATGACAGCCCAGATGGAGCTTAACTGATAATCTGTGTTCACTGAAGTGTGTTGGTTCAGATTTCATGTGAGCAGAGTCGGTCAACTGTGGCGTCTCTTATTGTTGTCGTGAATAACGCGGCCACCAGGGAGCAGTGGTGGTCAGGCCTGCCTTACAGCAGGTTCGATGCCGTGTGGAGTGGTTACCTTCATGTCTTCTGCTCTGATGTTCCTCCAGGCCTTTGGACAAGCCTACTCCAACCACAGGAAGGTGGCAGCAGACGGGGAGAGTCGCGAGGAGTCGCTCATCCAGGAGTCCGCCTACAAGGAGGCCTACTACGAGCAGAGGGTCCTGGAGCTGCAGAACGAACTCCGCCAGACGCGTAACATCCTGACCAACGCCCAGTCCGACAACGAACGTCTGAACGCCATTACCCAGGAGATGAGAGAGGTGAGGGGGGGGGGGCGTCAGTGCGGTCAGTCGACGTGTCAGAACGTGAACCTGTGGAACGTTCTCTGTTCAAGTGAAGACACGTCTGATTGGTTGTCCTCCAGTGGGCGGAGGCGTGGCCCAGAACAACAGCACCCTGCCCTCCAGCTCTCTGTGGTTTCTGACAGGGTGGGGTCGTCTCACAGGTGTTTTTACCATCAACCAATCACGGTCCACCGCTGGGTTCCTGCCCCGCTGTCATTGGTCTGAAGCAGCCGGTGAACAGACCATAATGAAACCGTTCTGTTGGTGTGGGTGTGGAAGGCAGTTGATGACGGTGGTGTTGGGGGGGGGGTGTAAACTGAGACTGGTATTATGACTGAACTGAATACAGTCTTTGTCTCAGATGTGAATTTGCCCAGAGGCTCAGGGTGGCAGTAGAGAGGGGCAGGGCAGAACAAAGGAGTTAGAGAAATCAGTGTTGAGACACGACAGCAACGGTTGACTGTTGTCAACAACTCAGAGAAGTGGTGACGGAGGTGGAGGTGGAGGTGGAGGTGTTGGGGTTAGAACCTAGGTCCTGGTTTGTCGTCTAAATCACAGACTCAGATGTCTGTGATTTAACTCCTCCTCCTCTCCTGTAACCTCCTTCAGCCTCCAGAGTCCGTCTGTCAGATATGTGTGGCAGCAGGGCAGTAGAACACCACCCCCCCCCCCCCACCCCCCCCCCTCCTGAATGGTTCAGTGACACAGAGGATGTAAAAGCCAGGTCAAAGGTCAGGACCCTGCCCAGCAGTGTAATCAGTTTGCAGTGAGGGGTCAGACTGCAGTGACCTTCAGCTGAGGCTCCTGACCAGGAAGTGACCCACACAGCAGCTGGTTCAAACACTGAACATGGAGACGTTCTCCGTCTTCATCCTGACGACAACAACGACGACAACAACGACAACAACAATGACAACAACGACGACAACAACGACGACGATGTCAACAATGACAACAACAATGACAACAACAATGATGACGACGACAACAACAATGACAACAACAATGACGACAACAACAACAACAACAACAACAGTCAGGACTACAGCTGCCTCAGGCTGTAGTCCAGGGAACTGGGTTTCCTGTCAGGTGGTCACAGGACGCCAGGATGAGTGACATCACAGCCAAGACGTGTGTGTGTGTTGTGTTCAGTCGGCTGCTCTCACACACACACACACACACACACACACAGACTGACCGTCATTGTGATTTAAATGTCTCCTGAATTGATGAATGAAACGACCCAACCAGCCGGGGATTCTGGGAAACAGTTAATGATGTTGAGAATGATCTTCTGGTTCTTTACTTTAGCGTTCAGTAACTGACACCCCCCTCCCCCTCCCCCCCCCCGACCCAACAGAACAGCCAGGTGGTGGAGCTCCAGAGGAACCAGCTGCGTGACGACATCAAGGAGTACAAGTTCAGGGAGGCCCGTCTGCTGCAGGACTACAGTGAGCTGGAGGAGGAGAACATCTCACTGCAGAAGCAGGTCTCTGGACTCAAACAGAGCCAGGTGAGGACGGCACCGGGTCGGGGGGCGGGGTCTCCGGGTCCCGGTCCAAACGTCAGAGCTCAGTGCAGGTTCTGCTCCTGTTCCCAGGTGGAGTTCGAGGGTCTGAAGCACGAAATCCGGCGTCTGGAGGAGGACACGCAGTTCCTCAACAGCCAGCTAGAGGACGCCATTGGCCTGAAGGAGATCGCCGAGCGTCAGCTGGGAGAAGCCCTGGAGACCATCAAGACCGAACGTGAGCTGAAGGCTTCTCTGAGGAAAGAGCTCTCCCAGTACATGAACATCGGAGATCCTCTGTACCACAGGTAAGCGCACCGCGGGCCGTAGACCACCTGGGCTGCCCCGCTCTGAACACTAAACATCTGACCGTGTCCCTCAGCATCTCTCTGGACGGTCTGAAGTTCTGCGACGACGTCTCCACGGAGCCCAACAACGACGAGGCTCTCCATGGTTATGAGAACAGCTTCATCAAACTGAGCAGCACCGTCGCCGACGACAACCGCGGCGCCGTCCCCGACAAGGACGACCTGTTCTGTCCTGCACCCAGTCTGGTGGACAACCTGCTGAGTGAACTGAACATCTCAGAGATCCAGAAGCTCAAACAGCAGCTGATCCAGGTATGTTCACAGACCGGCTCACAGACCGGCCCACAGACCGGCCCACAGACTGTCTAACATGTCTTCAGATCCTGGGGATTTGTTTGGTCCAATTGACAAAAGGCTGAAGGGAACAGGACGAGTCTCTGGTCCAAACCCGACCCGGGGTTTTGGATCTTAATCCCTTTAGAGCAAAGTTAATCTGGGGGGACTCACCCCCTGCCGGAGGGCAGGGCTGTGGGGGGGGGGGGCGTACCACCTCTTCCCTCATCACTAAGGCCTGTTACCATGGTAACCAGCCAGTAAAGAAACCTGCCTTGTTTAAAGTACTGGGAGAATTAGAGCTTATTTGATTTCATTTTATTTCAGACACACGGTTGCAGGACAGGTGTCTGACCTGCAGGGGCGCTGTGTACTTTGTTCTCAGTTTAACGATGACGTGAATACCTTTGTATAATTACCCCAGACTGTTCTAATGCCCCTCCCCCAGATGGAGCGAGAGAAGGTCAACCTGCTGTCCACCCTGCAGGACTCACAGAAGCAGCTGGAACAGGTCAACGGAGCTCTGTCCGAACACCAGGAGAAGGTCGGACGCCTGACGGAGAACCTCAACACCATCCGCAAACTACAGGCCACCAAGGAGCGCCAGTCCGCCCTGGACCACGAGAAAGAACGCGACAGCCACGAAGACTCGGACTACTACGAGGTGGACATCAACGGACCGGAGATCCTGGAGTGCAAGTACAAGGTAACTGCCCCCTGGTGGTCCATGGTGGCCGTGTTGTTACGAGTCATAGGTTCGCATTGAGCTCTCTGGACTAACATCCTCCCTCCTCACCTGTAGGTGGCAGTGTCAGAGGCAGGAGAGCTGAAAGAAGAACTGAAGACTCTGAAGGCGGAGTACAACTCCTGCCAGTCACGTTACGAAGTGGAGCGCCACCGACTGGAGAGCGACGTGACGGCCTTAGGAGAGAAACTGTCGGTGTTGGAGAAAAGCAGCCGAGCGGAGAGAGAGGAGAAGCTGAAGCTGGAGAAGGAGCTGCGTAAGGTGAGCTGACCGAGACGTCGGACCGAACCACCTGATGAAACTGAAACTAACTTCCTGTCCCTGTGCGCCCTCAGCTGAGCGACGTGGCCGGTGAGTCCCAGGGCAGTCTGAGCGTGGCCCAGGACGAGCTGGTCACCTTCAGTGAAGAACTGGCCACTCTCTACAACCACGTCTGCATGTGCAACAACGAAACGCCCAACCGCGTCATGCTGGACTTCTACAAAGAAGGTAAAGGCGGCCACGGCAGCCCGGAGGGCCGCGGGCGCCGCTCCCCCATCCTGCTGACCAAAGGCCTCTTCCCAGAGCCGCTGAAGACGGACCACAGCGACGCAGCCCCCCCGCTGCCCTCTCCCGGGTCCGACCACCGTCGAGAACCCATGAACATCTACAACCTGGTGGCCATCATCAGGGACCAGATCAAACACCTCCAGCTGGCCGTGGACCGCACCACGGAGCTGTCCTGTCAGAGGGTGGCCTCCCTGGAGCTGGGGGCCGTGGCCGACAAGGACAAGGAAGCCTGCATGGAGGAGATCCTCAAACTGAAGTCGCTGCTCAGCACCAAACGGGAGCAGATCGCCACCCTGAGGACCGTCCTCAAGGCCAACAAGCAGGTGAGGTGTCCTTCAGCTGTCCTTCAGCTGTCACACCAAAGATGGAGACAACAAGACTGGACTGGGGGCTAAATCTGGTCTCCTCAGCTGTCCCAGCATACTCAGACCAGACCAGGTGCTGGACCAGGTGCTGGACCAGGTGCTGTGTGGTGTCAGCTGACACAGTCAGAACCAGGAAGAGAAATCGTTGTTTCAGTTACATTCTGGCCAATCACGTATCGTACTGTTGATCCTGATTATAGAGAGGCCGCCAAACTGCACTGACCTGACCACATCTGTCCCCTCTGTCTGTCCCCTGTCTGTCCCCTCTGTCTGTCCCCTCTGTCCTCTGTCTGTCCCCTCTGTCCTCTGTCTGTCCCCTCTGTCCTCTGTCTGTCCCCTCTGTCCTCTGTCTGTCCCCCCTGTCTGCCCCCTCCGTCTGTCTGTCCCCTCTGTCTGTCCCCTCTGCCTGTCCCCCGTCCTCTGTCTGTCCCCCCGTCCACCTACAGACGGCTGAAGTTGCTCTGGCCAACCTGAAGAGCAAGTATGAGAACGAGAAGGCCATGGTGACGGAGACCATGATGAAACTGAGGAACGAACTCAAGGCCCTGAAGGAGGACGCCGCCACCTTTTCTTCTCTTCGCGCCATGTTCGCCACACGGTAAAGATCAGGACAGTTTGAAGTTCAAGTACTAAAAGGCAGCGCAGTCAAACTGCAGTCACTGGTCCAGAACCACAGGACGTTCCTGTGGTTCTGTCGAGGTCCAGCAGCGTTCTCCAAGTATGTTCACGTGAGAGCTGCAGCAATCTAAGCCCCGCCCCCAAACTCTCTCATTTCTAGTAGTAGTTTGGTCTGTGTGTGTTGGCGGGGGGTGTGTGGGGGGGTGGGTGGGGGGAGAGTGTGTGTGATTCCTCAGAGAACCCTGTCAAAGGTTCTGTGGATTATTATCAGATCAGTCTGGATTACAGACCATGTGATGTTGTGGCTCACCTTATCTCC